TGAACCATTACAAATATAAATTGTATGTATAAATTTCCCCGACCCAGCTCACCCGTCTGTGACCAAAGAGTCTCTAGATGCGATTTATGGGGATGATGTATTGCTTGTCTATTAATTGGGATTAAGATCCTATTTGTTTAATAGAGTCAAAGCCTGAAGATCATCTCTACAGAGATTACTTTACTATTAATATTACAATACAATTAGATTATATAATAACAATATATTAAAAAAATTATATAATTAAACTTATTGATTTACATATGATTTATATAATGCTATTATCTGATTGAAATATTTAAAATATGTATTTAGAAACCATATTTAACAAAAATTACAATATTTTTTTATTTTATTTTTTTTACAAAGTCAATAATTTTTCTTTAAATGTTTTTTTATTTTTTATTTTCATAATATAATTTCTTTTTTTTCTCTGTTTAAGGTTATTTTAAAATATATAGATTTCAATAGATAATAGATTAATATATATAGTTATATATTTTATATCTTATTATTGATTATAAGAAGTGTCTCATATTAATATTAAAAAATAAATAAATATTGATACTAATTAGTATAGTATTAAAATTAATATTGAAATAAAGTCAATTAAAATTTTAGAAAAATTGATAAGTGAGAATAATTTATTTTTTGAAATATATATATATATATATATTGTTTATTTAAAGTTTAAGAACTTTTTGTTAAGTTTAGTTTTAGTAATAATAAAATTATTAAAAGTTTTGACTTATTAATTTGAATAAAATTATCTTTAATTTATTTTGATCTTAATAAAAGTTTTACAAAAAATTTTAATTTAAAATTCTTAATCAAATCTTTAGCTTTTCTTATATAGTAATAAGCAATAAAATAAAGTTGTTTTTAACTGTATTAGTAAAAGAGAGAAAAACAATGTTTTATTTTTTTATAGTTTAATTGAAGTTATTTAACTTTTAAAACTCTCAATACCATTGTTTACAGAAAATTGTCTGATTAGATATATAAATAAATCTTTATATAAGAAAGATAAAATTAACTTTGGTAAAGAAAGATTAAAATATATATCAGATAGTTTGCTTGCATATAATAGTGTTTTTAAGTTTCTTCATTTGTATTTTAGATTTATAAGTTTTTGTTTTTTGATTAAGGAAAGATATATACAGTATATTTTTAATTTGAGATCTCTTGAGTCATTAAGGTCTGGTTTTTATCAAAATATGAGATATATAAAAGATTAAAGTTGTTAAATACTTTTAAACTTCTTATAACTTTACTTATATCTTTTGTAGAGATACTTCAAACTTACTAGTTTTCAATTAAGAAAAAAAAAGACATGATGTTTAGGCTAAATACCCGTAAAAGGAGGGTTGCATAAGAATGGGTTTAAAGATCAACAATATTTATGAAGCTATCACTGTTCATATTTTAGTTGCCCCATGTTAATCATATCAGTGGTATCAAACATGGAATGGGTAACTCTAAAGAGAATGCTAAATGTAGGAAAAATCATGCAGAAAACGTTGGATGGAAGTGGTATTCAAATTTGGGATTCTATTAGCCTCGCAAGTATCGCACTTAATTGGGAAGCAGAAAAAAAAGATCACATAGACACAGATCCCAACGAAGAATGGAGAGGAATAGAGCTTAATTCACGAAAATTCAAAGTTTTTTTTCTCGGAAGAATTCCTTTAACAAATGGTGTAATCACCTGAGGTTCATTACATATAGTCATATAGTATATAGAGAAATCGCTCGAGAAGGATATCTTGTTCATCGCTTGGTGGCATTAGCATTGAAAAGAATATGTAAAACATATTGATGGCAACCTTACTAAAAATAATGCATCTATCTTGAATGGTGCACTCAAAAAGAAAATATGCTCGAGCTTCGTAACTTCAAGGATACTGTAGTAATAAATAAAACGCCCTATCAGGCAGGTTTTTGACGACGGTTCTACGCGAGAATTTCCATCCATAGCTGAAGCACAACGTACAACTGGAATTAACCAGTCAAATATTGATGGAGCATGTCGAGGAATACGAGTTCCCGTTGGTGGGTATCGTTGGCAATATTGACACATGAACATGATAAATATTGGACATTCAATTACACAAATAGTCCATAAAAATTACAATACACATATTTTTTAGGTCATTATTTCGAGGTGAAGTTCACCATGCTATACCTACCAATTGTGGTCAAAATTGTATAGATTTCAAGTTGAAAATGATTTGTGACAAGGTCACTTGCGACAGATAATTAAGTCATGAAACCAGTTGATTGTGCATATTTCAGATGAGTTAAACTCGTAAAAATTGGATGCGTCTACTCCTATTTCTACTCCTATTTTTGCTAATGAGCCACAAGTTCTGGAGTCTATAACGGTTTTGAGTAGGGTTCAAAGAACCATTTACAATACAGCCAACGACTAGGGGAAAACTATTCTCTTGGCTGCAGTTGCGGATAAAAAGAAAAAATCGGTATGTTTGATTAGACAATGTACATTTTCCATTTAGCTTTTCACTGAGACTTGTTATAAATGTTAGTGGTGGCTTCGCTTAATTGATTTATTTCGATAGCAACATTATTTTAATCTTGTTTATGCTGTGATCAATTTACTTTCCGTCATTGATTTTAATGTTTGGAGTCACTTTCAAAGACAAGACGGTATGCATTCTCAGCAATAGCAGAAAGATTGTTTAATAAGTTTCCAGATGCATTATTTATCATCGTTCCTAATTACCAGGATAGTGTTGGCAGTAGCGGGAGGCCTAATTTGGACTTGGCAAATACCGTTATTTCTTGGGATATTGTCTGTGGAGAATGCTATGTATTATTTTAGTATGTACCCTCGATAATAATGATGGTAAAACTAGATCTTGAAGGGTGCTATTGCCTACGTACACTTCACTTAACCACTACCTATGGCACTGTAACCGTGCACGGATTTATATATTTAAATTTATTGTGAAATGACACATGCCTTGAGTGGATGGAGTGATGTTCATGCATATAGTTGATTACCGTTATTTTTGATTTTTTCTTGGCCCATAGTAGTGGATTTTACTCTCCCTTGTCATCTCCATCTATTTAACGGTTTTTCATTTCGGAATTATAATGATTAGCTAATTACAGTATTAAGCGTAACGCGTGAAAAATGACCTATTTGGTCTTATGAACAAGCGCAAAATACATGTCTAAAAACATAAAACGGGAAAGCTATCTACCCACTATTTTTTTGATTCGGGCCCTCTTACTGCCTGGAGAGTTATCGACTGTTACCCGATCCTTCAACAACAATGATTTCCATTATCCGCTTTATGTTATTTCCGTTTTCGAAAGATTAATCGGATATTCGCTTTCACTAGTGCAACAAAGCCCATCGGTAGTAATGCCAATCCATACTTGCATAGTGATTGATTTTAGTGAAATTTCTCAGATAGAAGAAACCAAAACATTGCCGACGACAATCACATATTGGATATTGTATAATAAAAAATCTTTACATACCCGTTGACACTATCCCATAAAGATAGTCTTCATTACGAAATGCTTGATCCGCAGTATGCTTCTTTTTATTGTATGGTACGCACTCTCAAGTTGCATAATATTCTGGAGATAACCAATCTTGATATTGCGTGGTTTACCTTAGGATGCACATGAGATCCTCTTTCCCTTTGATCACATAATCAACATGACCTGACGCTTCCTCGCCAGATACATTCTTCTGCAGAGATATATAAAGTTTTTCTTCTTTAGCGATTCTTCGAATGATAGCAAGTGAAGCATATAAGATGGAGAAAATAAATTCATTAGTATCAGTATTATGTCTGCCACACGGTGCTTAAACGTTTCGTCGTTATCATCAATCTTTACGGAATCTATAAACAGAAAAAATATATCTGAATTTTCAGCTGGGGCGCCTCTGCCAAAAATGCCAAGAAATTTAAGGGCGAGACCCAGATTCGCGCGATCCTAAAAAAAAAATAAAATTAAGTATTACGTACGGGTTGAATTTCTTAATGCCGTTATATCATCCTCGTTAACTTTATATTTACGAAGAAACATCCTTTTAAAAAAAACTCATACAGAGTTTTATAGGACTAGAAGCTATATATCTTTTGCTCTTTGGGATTTTGCAAGTGCCGTTGCTGGCCCCAATACTACAAAACTTTTCTTCTGTTAACTCTAGAAAAGAGAAATCTGAAATTTTTTGTTTACGTAGAATTGATAATCGTCATTATCGAGACCCAAATCCATTTCTGTAGAGATGCGAAATGCGTATAGTACATTAGTTCAAGCCATGAACCCTCTTGATGACTTGTGTGCCGATCATAAATTTATAGTTAGTGAAGACTCGCAAAAGAAAACTTCTTGCGATTCATTATTACAGCAATTGGTTTACATGCTATCAAGTGTATCCTTAATGGAGGAAGATCAGAAATAAAGGTTCGCGTTATCATATTATTCTCATCACGTTGTTCAGTTTTGTTTATATAGCTACCACATTACTGTTTGTCTTCATTAATGATTATTTTGGAGCCGCGGAAGGTAACCGTCAATAGGGTCAATAATTGAAGAACATCTTTAGCAATAACAATATTGATGTAATAAGGGTTATTTGTTTTTGACCATGGATGATGGACGGTGAGGAAAATTAATAACATTTCCATGGTATCCATGTTGTCCACCACGGAGATTATACACTGACACGATAGGAAACACTTGAGAAATTAACATTTCTTCTATTTCTGTTATGCCCCGAAGCTCAGTAGGCACATTTCCTGGATTCATGTTATTATCTGCAGAGAATTTTTTTCGGTAGTTTCTTCTCACTATAGAATTGCTGACATTCACCCTTGATAAGATTAATGGACGGGATGCATTTGTTACATGCAGGGCAATGAGAATTCTTGAGCTTTGGCACGCAATTGAGGCCGTTGTGCTTCATTAACAGTTCTTAAATATTTTCTATACTTATATGCTTCTTTATTTTTCTCTCAGCGAATGTTACGTTCCACTAAAGTTTCTTTGTTCATTAATCTGACGATATTTCTCATGTCCTTTATTAAGGCAAGCATTGTCTTCCTCAGAAGTCTCTTGTTCGCGAAGCTGCCATTTCTATCCTGTTCTATTTTTCGGCGAGTACCATGTTCCTCCAAATTTTCCTGTTCCCAACGTAGCTGGTTTCTTTAAGTTTTCTCTTAAGGTAAACATCATATTCTAAAAAGTCGTGTTCTGGCTTCATTACCGAATTTTTTAGATGAATTCTGTCGAAAAAGTTTATTATAATATAGGCTCACATTAAATAGTATCAAATAATAATAATGGCAATTTTTATTAATTCTGTTAGAAAAGTTTAAATCAATATCGAATGGGTTAGTAAGGCCGGAGAATCAATTTTACTCTGCACATAGTTGTATACTGTAGTTTATTTGTGTAAAATATATAGTTTATTTATTCAACACATTTGATTAATTAAAGTACTCTATTATTAAATTTAATATTGATGAGTTTGTAAGATCGGAAAATTACATATACGTAAAAGTGTTAGAAAAATAAAGTGATATACACATATGATGTTTTCACCCAATTAAGATTTAATTGAAACACGATAGATTTTTGGAATTTTTGGAATTTTTTATATGTACAAAAAGAGAAAGAAATGTACTAGAAAAAAGATAAATCATAATAAAAACCTCTTTAAATAAATTCAGCTTAATATTTAACACTTTCACTTATTTCATATCAAAATCCACATGCCTCTATTTGACAATAATATTCAGCAATCACGATATAACAACAAACTTTTCAATTATTACCTTACAATACATAGTTTATTTATTATATTTTTCTATTATTAATGATTTGTTATTAATTTTATTAAAAAAGTTTAATTATATAATTTGTATAATTTATTTATGTTTATAGCAAAATAACATATAAATTTTTTGGAATTTTATAATTTTATAATATATTATAATTCACTTTTTTGTTACAGTAAATAGTTTATCTTTTATTATTAAGTTCATTTATCAATTATGTGCTCTATATATGTTTCGTTATTACTATAAAAGGAAATTTGATTGATAATACAATTCTGACTTAAATATTATTTCTAAATCTTACTTGATAATTCCAATATAATAAAATTTTTGAAAAATGCTTGAATTCAATTCCACCACATATATAGTATACTCTATTATTATTAACTATATATTTATTAAATTATTTTACATATAATATTACATAATAATTAAAATAAGATTTAAATTATTAAATTATCTGATTATACAGTCTATTTTTCTTTTTGCTCTATATAATAAGAAACTTTTTAATTTTTAAAAATTTTAATATTAAATTATTTATTATAAAAAAAATTATTTATTACAGTAAATTTGTAAATTTATAATGTTAATATTATTACAAATTATTTAATATAATAAAAAAATTATTATTTAATATTAAAATTTTTTTTTTACAAGAAAAGAACTTGCTATACTATATATTAAAAAGAATAGTAGTAATGATATATTAAATCTTTTATAAGTAATTTTTTGTATTTTTTTTAGCTTGATCTAATAATATATGCTATATAAAAAACACAAATATTTGATTAATAATTTATAAAAAATGTATTATAACATACTATAGATATATATTTAATGTCAAACTTATTTTCAAAACTATTGATAACTTTATTTTTATATTTTAAAGTGTTTTTGAAAATATTAATATTGCTACTTTAATAAAAAATAAAATTTTGTGGATTATTATACATAAGAAATAGATTATTTATTTTATGCCTATATATAATAATAATAAATTAAAAATATAATTTAATATTAATTTACTTACTAGTAATTTGAATATTAATAATAAATTTTTTTTCAAGATCTATTTTTTTAAAATCTAAATTATTTTTTAATGCATTTAATAATTCTTTATTATTATTTTAAGTTTTGAATAATCTCTTCTATTTTTTTATTATTTATAATTTTATTATATTTTCTACTTCAAATAGTAATATCTTACTTTTAAATTTTTATAATTTAATTATTAAATTCATCTTTATATCCAAAATCAATACTTTATATTCTTTATAAATTGCTTTTCATTTTCTATTTGTAACACTACAAGATTCTATTTTAATTCTATTTAATATTTTCAATTAAAATATTTAAAATAATATATGTTTTAAAATATAATTATATGTCAATTAAGTTTAAAAATATAATCATCAAATTTTTTTAGAAATAGTTTAAATACATTAACAAGAACTTTAGTAATAAAGTTATATTCTTTATATTGTAAAATCAAAGAATTTATAAATAATAACAATTAAACAGAATTAATTAATATTTGAAAAAAAATATAGTACTAAAAATTTTTAATAAAAATAAAAAAAATAAATTATTATAAAGTTTCTAAGTTTATTAATTATTCAATAATTATTTTTTTTTTTTTTTTTTTTTTTTTAAGTTGGCTAAGAGCATTAGATACAAGACATTTATTGAATATTATTCATCGTCATTACATCAAACATCTTTACAAAGTAAGCTATTGCTATCCTAAATGTAAGTTAATGCT